ACTGGGGGAATTCTACAGGTGACTGTTGGGGACCGCAGACATTTTACGAGACTGACTGGGACTGTGGGAATAATACCGGAGACTGTTGTGGACTGCAGACACATGGTTCTTAGTCAGGTATACACAAATAATGGTTTTCTAGTATCATGACAAATTTAAAACAATTTAACTTAAAGGAGAACTATGGGGTCAGTGTTTTTCCCCATAGTTCTCCTTAGGGTAACGGGAGGACACAAACTAGCGTCCTCCCGTTACCCTAAGCTCAGTATACCGCGAGCTGCAGCTCGCGGTATACTGAGACGCTGAAGCGGATCCCGACCTCGACGTCGGGATCCGCCCAGCTGCGTGAGTGACAGCTGGCTCTGCCTATCTAGAGGCAGAGCCAGCTGTAACCGCCCCGTCCGTTCTGCCAGTGAGCGCTGGCAGATCGGAGTGGGGAGAGGGGAATCCAGCCCCTCCCCCTGTCACGGCAGAGAGCCGTGACAGGATTGAGAGGTGAGCCAACCCGGTATCTGTTCGCTCACCTCCCGATCTACTGAGCCGACCTGTGACAGTCTTATTTTCACAGGTCGGCTAGAACTATGAGGTGAGTGGAAATCACTCATCTCATAGTTCTCCTTTAATGGCTGGAGATGAATCTGGTAGTAGCAGCCTAGATGATTCACCACTAAAACAAGATTAATAGAAAGCACACCATAAACCAGCCCCTGGCTGTTAGACTTCAGCCACCACTACCAGTCTAATCCCACCACATCCAGAAACACAGTAACCCTATAAACTATTATTATTTTACAATAAAAACAAGGAGTCTTTAAAGCACCAGATGCTGAGATACCTATGATACTTACAGAACTATAGTTCCTCACAAAAAAAAAATCACACTTCCTTCATCCACAAGTCAGGTATGAAGTGCAGAAAGCTGATCACAAGGAGCACTAACTGATGTGAACATTGTCTTCAACCTTTGTCTGCAGCTTCAAATAATTCCTACATGTTTCTCTTCTAGCAGCTGTAGAACAGCAGTTCTAAAGCAAAAAAAAAAAAGATGGAATAAAATTTTTTTAAAAAACACTGACTCACATACATTTCAATACAGTTATAGGCGAACTTGTGCAGGTAGGACAGCTCCCATCATCAAGTTTTCTTTAGGATCTTACATTTATGAAAAATAAATAATCACACAGCTCTAGTTCCAAATTTGTAATTTTCCAAAATATAAAATCCCTCAAAAAGTTGGACAAGTTATGTGGATTTATTAACTAATAAGCATTTCATATATGCAACAACATCTTGACAGTTGACTTCAAGACTAAATAATGAATGACCAATGCTGTCTTCTGCACCTATCCCCCCTCCTCATAAATCAGTAACAGCAACAATTCTACTGTGTTTTGCTCAAACCCTCCTCTCACCCCTTGGGATTTCATTTGATCTATGGACAGCAGGCTTAGAAAAACTAATACGGGGGACTTTAAAGAAGCGACGCCCCTAATTAATAAAGGCGGAGTTGGCCATATTGTCAGTGTATTGCACGCTGCTGTAGGGAAAGGATAGGAAAAGCTGACAAACAGCATAGGACAAGATTGGGGCCAGTTAGAAAACAGTACTTTAATTTTGATTGCTAGCTCTAAGGCAATCAATCCTTTTGCTGCTTTTTTTGTGTGTGGTCGATTTAAGGTCAGCAGTCACTTTTATGATGTCACATCCATTGCAAACTTTTTTTTACTGTAAGTCTTTACTTAAAAAAAAAATAGCTTTTGTTTCAGGTGATGGCATTCTCTGCTTTTCATTTATTTTTCATGATATATTTTTATTTCATGTGGATAAGGCCTTTATTTTAGGTTAAACGCATTTGTTTTTCTTTTTTGCAAGGCATCCCTTAACAAAGTGGGATTTTATTTCAGGGGTGGTATATTTGGGGTTTCCATTTTTTTTTTTAATGTTGATAAAAATAGGAGTTCTCCAAAATTCAATCAAGTAACAATACACTTGCCTCTTGTATTTAGACAACATTTCAGCTTTAAGGTCTCGTTCACACCTAGGCGTATTGCATATGCGCGACCGTCGCACGTTTTTTACCGCGATTTGCGGTAAAAAAAGTTGCGCGACCGTCGCGCTACTTGGCTGTATCCCAATGGAAACGCGCAACAAAACGGCCCAAAGTAGTACCTGTACCTTTTCAGGTGTGGGCCGTTTTGTAGCGTGTTAGGGACGGGCGGAAATACGCCAAGGTGGGAACAAGACCATTGAATACAATGGGATTTATATTTTTGAGCGTTTTGTAGAGCGTTCATCGAGCGTAGAACGCGCTACAAAACGTTCAGGTGTGAACGAGGGCTAAGACATTCACCAAGCATGTTAGTTAAAGGACTTGTGTATATTCAATGTTGCCACTGAAGCTGCATGAACGAAAAGACCCTCACCCAAATGTACAGTTTGTTTGATTTTGCACTGGTCCATGTCCCCTACGGCAGTGCTCAGCTTCCCGTGCTTTTTTTTTTCCCTGCATTAGTTTTCCGATTACCCCAAAAATGGCCAGAATTTAAAAACAAGGCTTGCTCCACCTAGACCTCAATTAGATTAACCTTCAGGCCTGGTTCACACCTGAACATTTTGTAGCACGTTCAACGCTCGACGAACGCTCTACAAAACGCTCAAACATCTAAATCCCATTGTATTCAATGGGTCTGGTTCACACCTTGCCGTATTTCCGCCCGTCCGAACGCGATACAAAACGGCCTACGCCCAAAGAAGTACATGTACTTCTTTGGGACGTTTTGGTCTCGCGTTTCCATTGGGATACAGCCAAGTAGCCCTCGGAAACGGGTGTTTGTCGCGCGTTTTTTTACTGCAAATCGCGGTAAAAACGTGTGGCTCGACAAACGCGCATATTCTATATGCCTACGTGTGAACCCAGCCTTGAAGTTCAGGTTTGACAATTTTTGAAGAGAGTACTACAATGAAGAACATCAGATCTGATTTGACTGCCAGAAGGCTCCTTGTTGGGGCGAGCGCCAATCAGGAAGAGGTGATGAATGAATTGTTTAGTAATGCCTCCTTTCCGTTCTTCCCACAGTGGCCATTTTTACTAAGGGTGGATTGATATACCTCCCCTTATTTCCTGGAACTCTGGCACATGTGACTAGGACATGTGATCATACACATCATCTCAGGGGAGGAAAATGCCTTTCCCTGAGATCTCATATAACACACACACACACACACACACTATATGGTAGTTCTGCCTACAAATCCCAAAAGGGACTACAAATCCAAACATACATTATACAGCAATGCAGAATAATACCATCAGCTATAGAGGACTACAAATCCCAGCAATACATTATACAGCAACACATGATAATATGAAGTTACAAAATCTATGCTGCTCCAGGGTGCCGGCCTGACGTCTCCAGCTATCTGAAAAAAAGTATCTCTATGCACATGATACGTATATAGAAAAAGGTAAGAAGTAGGGATGAACCAAAATTTTGTGCGCCAAAACATTTAGGCTGAAAATGGTACTATGGGCAAAATGCAGTGCACCTCTAGCTTCTCTCCTCCCCACTGGACACCGGTGTCCCCTCCGATGCTCTCCCCTGCCTGTGTAGGCAGAGGGAGCGGGATCGGAGGGGACACAGAGATAAACCAGCTGCCGACACCCAGCGGGGAGAAGATAAGCTGTCAGGAGGCCAAGCATGGTGGTGCGGGGATACGACAGCTGTCAGGAGGTTGAGTGAGGTGGTGTGGGGAGGAAACAGCTGTCATGAGGCTGAGCGGGGAGGTGCGGGGGGAGGCAGCTGTCAGGAGGTCAAGCAGGACAGTGCGAGAGGAGGCAGCTGTGAGGAGGTCGAGCAGGACAGTGCGAGAGGAGGCAGCTGTCAGGAGGTCGAGCAGGGCAGTGCGAGAGGAGGCAGCTGTCAGGAGGTCGAGCAGGACAGTGCGAGAGGAGGCAGCTGTCAGGAGGTCGAGCAGGACAGTGCGAGAGGAGGCAGCTGTCAGGAGGTCGAACGGGGCTGTGTGGGAGGAGACAACTGTCAGGAGGCCTAGCGGGGCTGTGCGGGAGGAGACAGCTGTCAGGAGGCCAAGCGGGGCTGTGCGGGAGGAGACAGCTGTCAGAAGGCTGAGCAGGGTGGTGCAGGGGGGAGACAGCTTTCAGAAGGCTGAGCAGGGTGGTGCAGGGTGGAGACAGCTGTCAGAAGGCTGAGTAAGGCTGTATGGGAGGAGACAGGCTGTGCGGGGCTGTGCAGGGAGGAGACAGGGGCTGTGTCAGAAAGCCAAACAGGGCTGTGCGTGGAGGAGAGCTTGGCCTCCTGTGACATGCAGAACAGTCAGGATGGAGAGCGGAGCACAAACACTCAGTTAAGTAAAAGTTAAGTAAAAAACAAACAAACCAAATAATAATACAAATTAAATCATTACAAATAAAAAAGGTGTGTGTGTGTGTGTGTGGGGGGGGAGTAATTTCTGGTTCAGTCGTGACAATTTTTTTAAAGGTCTAAAAATGTAATTTGGCTGCATCCCTAGTAAGAAGAAATCATCAGTGATAAATGTAATTGTCATCTGCAGAGCACTAGTGGAGACAGAAAGCAGCGCCAGTAAATGCGGTAATCCGAGTGCCCCAGTACTAGAAGCATTACGGCACCGGAGGCGTGTCCTGCGCTCCCAGCGTGACTTTCAGCTTCCTGAGCTCTGCAAAGCTTTCTCCGTGTGCAAAGATCATGAGATAATCCCGAGCACAATGTAATATTTACACTGACATGAAGGCCAGCCTTCCGCCGCAGCGGGTGGGCTAGTGAAAGGCAGGGGAGGAGGTAGGGGGGTCTATAGGGAACGTAAGATGAAGGTACGAGTGTCAGGTGTAGAATATACACGCCCACTGCAGAGAAATGGTCTTTCATCCGCAGCCATGACTGATTCGTGCTGCAGTACATGATGACAATCCGGGATGAGCTCCCGGTAATAAATAAGCCCCGAGCGGAATCATGCATTGTACACACCGAGCAGGAGTCCGTCCATGTCAAAGATGATGTGTGTGACGGGCTGCGGGATGACGGCTGCCATACTGGATCCGCTCAGCTTCGCTCTCCACTACGAGGAAATGAATGGGCACCGCGAGACGCACCTTAAGGCCGACTAGCACCTTGCCCTGGGATCTGGAACACATTTGTACACTGGCCTGGTGTGCCATAAATCAGCTGGCAGCTTGCCTTCTGATTCCTCTCCGTACCTGAGAATATAAATGATCAGAGAGGAATAGAAATCCCTCGCTTCATTCCATCATGTTGCTACCAGAGGATAGCAGAGCCAAAAAGTGACTTCATTAAGGGAGCTGGGACATAAATAAAGCAGAAAGAAAATAAGCTGTGGGCTTAAACGGACAAAAAAAATGAAAGGTTGAGACATTACTCGAGAGAGAGAGAGCGTACAGATAAATTAAATGCTACGGTTAGAGGAATGGCGCAGTGAATGTGTGGGTAGAGCCACCAACGCCTTCAAATAATCGTTAATAAAGGAATGCCGCTGCAGGTCTGCGTGTTTGAGATCTGCTTTTCTTGACTTTATTAAAAGAGAACTATCGGGTGTTTTTCCCCATAGTTCTCTTTATGGTCCCGGGAGGACATATACTAACCTCCTCCCGTGACCAAAAGCTCAGTATATTGCAAGCTATTGCCCGCGATATACTGAGAGTGCGGGACAGATCCCGACAATGCTGTCAAAATCCACCCAGCTGTGTGAGTGACAGCTGGCTCTGCCTATAAATAGGCAGAGCCAGCTGTCAGTCACGCAGCT